CACAATTGTCATTGCATATTAAAGCGTGTGTGGTATGATTGGAGTTTGCTTGTCGCGAGATTTTCAAAAATTGGGCTGACGAGAGTGTCGTTGCACATCGCTCTCTTTTGATTTGCCCAGCGCCTCAATTTCCGGTCGAGATCAGTCGTTCTCCTCCACCGTCTGGTCGCGATGCGGCGGACGTCTGCTGGGTCCCTTCATCGGAATTGTCCCTTCTCTCGCGCTCGCTGGCCGGTTGCTTCTCCTCCGCCGCTCGCTTTGCCTTCTCCTCCGCCGCGCGTCTCGCCTTCTGCTCTGCGAGACGCCTCTCCCTCTCCTCTGCGAGATGCCTCTCCCTCTCCTCATTTCGGTGGCGCTGCATCCTTTCCTCTGCGGCCCTCTTTGCCGCCTCTTCTTCTTGCTTTCTCATTTCTCGTCGCAACATGTCCAGCTCAGCCTGCATCTTCGCCTTCGCCTCCTCCTCCACCTCCAGTTTGTCCAGTAGTCTCTTTTCCTCTAACAGCTGCCTTTCCTCGGCGCGTCGCCTCTCTCGGTCGAGTCGAATCCCCACGGCATATCTCTCCTCTTGAAGCCTGTCATCCTCGCGTTGCGGATACGGACGCCGCCAGCCTTCACGCCCGTCATCATCGCTTTCCATTACCGGTGGAGGCGGACGGTAGTATCGCTCCCGGTAGACGTTACGGGTGCGGCCGGGAAACTCCTCTGGCGCCGTCATCGACGAGAGCTGATGCCCTGGGTACGGCGGTGGAGGAATCTCATCCGAAAGACCGCGCTGTCCTCGCAACTTGCATGCCACCCACGCAGCGAGCGCTCCCAGTTCACCGAGCCACCATAAACCGAGCAGAATGACCAGCAGCGTCACGGGGATGGCCACAGCCCAGTACGTCCACATGCCCGACTCCATGTCTCGCACGTCGCTGGTGTTCATGCCGAAAATACTCGAGACAGCGCTGAGCGGCAGAAAGATGATCGTCACGAGTGTGAAGATGTAGATGGCCTCTTCCTGCTTGTCTTTGGTACCGATGACCTTGCTGGCATTCTGGCAGAATGTTAGCCAGACAGTTGCTGCGAGTGTGCGTTGGTAGATATACCTGGCGCTCCAGTGACTGCGCGTGCAAGCCGTACCCTTGAAACTCCTTCTTCTTCCGCTCCAATACGTCGATGCACTCCCAAACAAGAAGGTCTCTGACAGACGATAATTCGGAAAGCGGCAGCTCAAGTGCCATTTCGTCCGCGTTCCCTGGCGCAAAAGGGTTGCCATGAGGTGCCGCCGATCTATTGAGGCCTTCACCATAGTGATCGAACGGCCTTGTGCGACTGATAGTGTTTCTACACTCGCCGGCGTTTAAGGTTCGGCTGATGAACCCGTAAATGACCTTTTGCGCATCCACAATCTTCTTCGCGATTGTGAGTTCCTCCTGTACGTGATTGATGCGAGTCTCATACGATCGATCGGATGGCATTGACGTAATCTGTGCTTCCTGCAAAGTGTCAGCCAGTTACGCGACGAGTCCATACACCGACGTACCAAGCCCTGGAGGTACTCCAGATACGTCTCGCTTGCACTTGGGTGTTTTCCAGTGATATCAGAGAGCAGTCGAATGCTCATCAACGAAACAAGATCCATCGGTAAGACGGTGATCTTATCGGCAAGTCGAAAGGAGGAAAGGCTGTCAACAGTTTCTGCCATGCCGCTTTGAATGAGAGATATTGCAAAGTTCAGCTGTTCACCCCATGAGCTTACACTACCCATGTCAGTGCAGCTATGAATAAGGCTCATGACGATGAGGGGCCAGGCGCGGGTCAGGTCGTCAGATACTTGTATCTTGGCACGATCAGAGTCCGTAGCTTGCGTCATCAATTGCTTAAAGGCCAGCATGTTCGGCATAAGATCCTTAAACTTTGATAGGATAAGACCAATGTTCGGGTGAGGCGAATCGCCCGTAGAACGCCTGGCATCCCTGCCGTGGCGGTTTGCTTCCGAAGCTTGGGGCTGTCGACTATGTTAGCTGGGAAACCGAGGGGCAGAAACCACCCACAAAGCAAAGTTGGGCGATGGACCCCCAGTATT